AACTTAGATACACAAGCATAGAATACATCAACATGACATTATAGAGTATATCATTTACATTGAGATAGTCTTTTTATGATTCAATTATTATTTGCATTATGTTCTTAGTAGTTATTAATGTTTCAATGATAAGGAAGTTTAGTGTACATGAAACCAATTATGTATATCTGAAATCTTCGTTAACCTCGACTTATAAGTTACTTATAATAGTCAAATAACAAGTCGAAAGCTTTCATAATTAACATATTTGAATACAAAATAATGATGATATGAAATACATTAAATATAATTGTTTCTGGACATATGTAGGCTTTCTACATCTATAAATTGACAAGAAAATGACAAAAGTATGGTGTTTGGTTATACTTCTGATTACTACTATTCTGTCATTCTTATTTAAAATGTTAGAACTTTGAAGTATATAAAGTGTCATCTGCCACTGACTAAATGACATACTGATTTATTGGTGTAAACAAACGGTAATTCAATTTTTAATGTATGCACTATGAAGTAAGATTCTATTGAAAGTTACATTGCTTTTCTGAATTTACAAATAATTCAGATCTGATTGTCAGAACCTTGGATTTCAGTTAGGATACTTACTTACTACTTTTACCCTTCATGGAGTAGCACAGGCTACCCACCACCACTCTCTATTCAGCCCTATCCTAAGCAATCATTTCCACTTGTTTCCAGTTGTTGTTCATCCTTTTCATATCTGCTTTCAATTCTCAAAGTAGTGTGTTTTTTCGATCTTCATCTTTTCCATTTCACTTCAGGACTCCAAGTAAGCGCTTGCTTCGTGATGCAGTTTGGTGATTTCAGTAATGTATATCCTATCCACTTCCAGTATCTTTTCTTAATTTCCTCCTCAGTCGAAAGGTGGTTTGTCCTCTTCCACAGTAGACTTTCTTGTTTAATTTCGAAGATTTTAATGGAAACATCTAATCACCTACCTTCAGAAATTATCTTGTAAAACCATGTTAATATTAAGCTAACTTATGAAGCAAATCGGCTACTGATTGTGTTTTATATACTACTGATTCAATGAATAATAAAATTCCCTTGATAGTAATATATCCAAGTAATTAAAAACCAACATTTAGATCTCTTGACTGAATAACCGTACTAAGTTCAAGTTTTATTTTCTTAAGTCGCATAATTTTCTATATTGGTTTTTTTATATGATCATTTTGTTGATTGAAGATGTAGTGCAACAAAACACCATATGATTTAGTTTAATTTCCATATTAAGCCATCTAAATTCAGGTTGTGTAATAATATTTTAACTTTTTTTTTCCTAGAAATTTCAATCAATATAATTTGAATGACAGTTTTCAATCGTTCATATAATGAAAAAATGCGGTCATAATAAATGTATCTTATTGATTGTTCATAGTACCTGTTATTCAAAGATATTCACATTTTTTTCATTTTACAGAAAAGAAAAAAGAATTAAACTGAACATTTTCCGATAGAGAAGATATTTTGTTTCTTCCTAACCTTTTATCAATCAAATTTTAATATTTATTTATGTTTTCGTTTAAGTATTTACCTTAGTGTATGTACACAAATCAATGTATGAATGGTTACACATCATAAATACTCACTCTTATTACAAGATATTTTTCACTTACTCGATATTACTACTACTACTACTACTACTACTGTGGTGTGTGCTATTTATATGGACATAAGTAGTATATGACGTTAGTAAGGAACGGAATGTCTGGCAGTAGACCGAACAGAGTATCGGACAGTAAAGAATGCAAACAGAATGCAATTTGTATGAAAATGCAAGAATGATGAAGTCTGAATCATTTTAAAGAAAATTGATGGACATTTTGCAAATTAAGCATTTACTACATGGCTCTTAGATTTTATAAAGATGCTCTGTAATTTGTTATCAAATACATTCGATTGTCCCTCACTCGTGTTCTTATTTGTTGCACTAGTACTTTTTCTAATACTTCTATTACAATTTTCAATATTTATGATGATATGGTAACCGATAGTTTGTTGATTAAGAAATATCGCACGAGATACTACATTTGAGAAATATAGATATTGAAGTTGATCAAATCTAACTTCATAAATGATTTGTCTGTGTGAAAACATTTTAGGTAAAGTGAGAAGATAAGTGATAAATATCGATAATTATAGAACAATAAACATACAATGTCAGATTTAAAAATTAAATACTATTGCACTCATCAATGATCGTCAAAGTTTTTCTCCATTAAAGTTGTGAGCAGATCAAAGTCTTTCTTATTTAATTTATTATAGAATCATAAATATAAACACGTTGTTTATAAATGGGATTGAAAGAGAATAGGTGATTTTCAGCTATTCATATCTAAAGTAATCTGTTTAATTAAAGCCCTCAAATGACCTGGTACGGCTGAAAATGGGAAGAGTCAGCTCTCACTCTCCAAATGCTCTCACATGGCCATGCGTATATAGCCAATGACAGGAAAGTCCTACTCACTGCATTCAAGCGGTATTACTATTGTTTACGAAATTGAGAGGTTAAAAAGCGAATGTTTAGTATTTTAACCGGGTTAGAAGTTATGGAAGATTCACATAGGGAAGTTGGAAAAGCCTCATTCCAAACCAATGATGCACATGGGCTCCAGGATTCTGGGGAAACAAATGGCATATGAACCAATTATTGATTGTCGGCTGCCATTTTCCTGCATCTCCCTATGTTGCTTCACTTCTTTGTGGATCAGATCCTTAGGTAAAAGCCTGCGGGTGTGGTTCCCCAAGAAAACCACCTGCTTCGGTGCGGGCATTCGTGTAGTATCACGGCCCACACACGAATCAAATGACGTGTGTGACGCATACGTATTTGGTGCCACCTTGTACGAATATTTATGTGTTCAAATAAATAAATACAATTGTAAACTAGCCAATTCATCTTATAGTCTGCTAAAATTTCATTGTTATTATGTAGCCAACGAATTTGATATCTATATTGAACTACACGTTACACAATTTTGATTTACAGAAATACTTTCAACAAAATGATACAAGAAGATTTTACATCATGTGATCATCTTGAATAGATCACGCTTGGCACAAATTTTCTAAACAATGTAAGACCTAGAGATTTCAATAAAATCTATTATAGTAAGGATTTCAAAACTAAAAAAGGTGAAATAAAATTTTTAACAAACTAACATTAGAAGTTTAAATTTATTTAACTGATGTATGTGTATATATATATGCACACTAATGATCAGTAATTATATTGTCATACAACTTTTCAGGTGACAGACTGTAACAAATTTATTGATCAAAAAGGGTTTTGGTGGATTTTATAGTAATTTACTAGTTGAATTCATGAAACAATTTGAGCTAGACCACCACCGTTGGAAATGTGAAAGCACTGGTCGCATTCGTGAGAGTCGAACCCAAGAATATACATGCTGTATGATTTAAAGGAGTTGGGTCTTTGTATCTATTTTACATTTAAAATGAAATTGTCTATGCTATTTCATGAATAATAGAATTTTACTAATAAATAAAAAAATTAAGTAGCCATAATTTCGTCTCGATTTAAATTAAGAGAACTTCAAGTCAAAGTCTTCTACTTGAAGTTTATGCTGATCATATCGTTCAGAAGAACGATGAAAGCACCACAATCAAACCATCTAGCCCAGAGAACAAAACTCCATCAAAATCATCTGCCTGAGTTACAAATCTTCTCCAACATCTCAGAAATTGAAAGGATTATTACTAAGGATTCTAGTTTTAATATAACTTAAATGGTCGGTGCTTTATTCGGTTCCTTTAATTAGTACTAAAAATGAAAATGAAATAATGAAATCATTATCCATTTTGTGTGTTTACATGACTACAGTAATAACTTAACTAGACTTATTGAAAGGTTTCAATTGTAGATTGAAATTGGAATCATTGACTAATAGATAAGAATAAGTACAATTTCGATTCCTTGATATTTCATAATTATTAACCTATGGTTATTAAACATCAAACAAATTTGTTCAGCTTAATGACAATGTGAATAATGTTATTCACAGTTAAATATCAATATACAATTCGAATAAGATGTTATACTCTTTATTAAACCTTATTTGCCAAATATTTCAGTCAAATATATTATACAATGTATATTTTGTTAAATTCATATATTAATTTAAATATAATTTAAAATGAGAAGTTTTTCCTTTTTTTTCACACTTTTCAAAAGATACTGAATATGAAGTAAATATTCAGAATGATGATTCTATATGTATTTCATAGTTAAATAATTTTCCTGGTATGAAATGCATAAAAATTATGGTTCAGTAAAACAGTGCTTAATATTTTCTATCAATGGCTTACACAAGTCAAAAAAGAGGTTTTATAATTCCATATATGGTTGACAATTGACATTGAGTATACCTAAGGATATTATCAAAGTTTCACATTTGTTTTAGATATAATCTACATTATCAATATAAGATTCTATTTCCTGATACATTCTCTTGGATCAAGCATTTATTGTTTCATCTGAATAGTTCACTTTCTTTGAGATCAATACTCTATAAACGTCCTTTGTTGTAATCTTTATAATTTGAATTGATTAATTGCTATATTTTAAATGTTATCATTGACCAGAAACCTTAGGAACAACGTTTGGTTTTAATAAGTTACAAAAATGACAAATATAGTTGTTTGAATTATCCTTTTATTTATCCTTTTATGTAGCCGTCATATGATAACAGAGACTATTTAGTTTAACAGTAAAATCATTAACCTGATCATTCAAAAGTCTAAGTGATATATACTACATTCAAACATTGAATAAAGGATATCTGTTATCTCAACTATGGTTTACATTAAATGAAAACATGAATTATTATCTCTGATAAGTAGGTTAGTATATGAGAATAAATTTGTATATTGTTTTACTCAAGTAACAATATTATGAATAAAATTTATTAACACCAAAAATATTTAAACATCCATATCAAAAATCATTGTTGACTTACTAGATTTCATATTTGAATCTGGATTCCTTTTTGAAACAGTCGATTGATTTCCATTAACTTGACCTTCTTTCATTTCTGCTGATATTGTTGTTATATTAATAGATTGTTTATATTCTGTTAAATCAACTGTAGTGTATTTTGGTACTAATAATAAACAATCTTTTAAGCCTAGTTCACAAGTTTCTTCACAGAATTGAATATTTTTCTTTAATAAATCCTAATATATTTATTATCCATAGTGTTATCGTCAATGGTATTGATCGACACATATTTGATTATATTCCAAAATATTATGTTCATTATGGAAAAGAAGGGAATAGTAGTAAATACATTTTTTTTCAACAATAAAACATATAAGTAATATACATATGGATATATATTTATATTAAACGGTTTAGTTAGAAACCCCTAATTCACAATTATGATTGAACATAGAACATCCTTAAGAAATCATAGTAACTATTTGAATGGTATTCATTATGAATAAATCTTGATAAATTATGCTTCCACTGTTTAATCAAGACAACTTCTTACTCTTCTTGAAGTATATACACAGATACAAAATGTTGTCGTGTGATATTTTGTAGTTCTCAGAAATATTTTGTGATTATTTATTAGTTGCTTGATTCGTTTTTCTTCTGTAACGACAAAAAATAATGAATATTTGTTATTTTGTTTTGCTTTTTTTTCCTTTTCAAGAATTTTTTGTGTAGTTAACCGAAAGTTTTTGTTTATGAATATTAATCAAAAATAAAACTTTTATTTTGTAAGTAATAAGGATAAACAGAATATAGCAAGAATTATAATTATTCTCCTACTAGCTGTTGTGCACCAATCATCTTTTTTTCTTTACAGTTCATATTCTACTGAACATATTAGCTAAATGAATTCTAGTAATATGATTATATTACTATTAATACAGTCTCGTTCTTATTTTACTTGTGTTCAGTTGCATCATAAGGGGTACAATAGGAAAATATATGTATTTGTAGGTGTACATAAGTTTACGTGTTCACATTGGTTTATTTAATATTTATTCGCTTGTGTATATTTGTATGTGTGGGTGTGGGAAACTGTTTAGTCTTTTATTTTTTGTAATATAAAACAACTTTTTAAATGGACGTTTTATTCTTGAATATCTTCAGAGATATAACTATTTATTTTTGCAAGTATAAATTTATATTTAAACACTGTATTGCCTGAAATAAATTGGTGTAAGCTAAGGACACTTGTATAACTATAAAAAAAAGTAAAAATGTGCCTTTTCATAATATAACCTAAAAAAACTTTAGTGGGACAAGTGAAAATATTTTCCTCACTTAGTTAATCACGTAATCAATTCTTGAATAGATAGTTTTTGTATAAGTTCTAATAAACGAAGTCATTAATTTAGGGGATAGTTGATGAATGCTTCCATTTGACTAGTAATCTTTAAATACTACTGCTTGTTAGTTAAACATAATCATTGTTTAAAATGGCAAATTTAAGTTAATTACCACATCTTCATGAGAGAAACATTTACAGTTACATTGCTAAGACAATTATTTTAGGGAATTTTTTAGTGTTTTCAGGATTAACGTTTTATATAAACAAAATACATCATAGTATCATTTTTCTACATTGTTTAAATTTCATTCATATACTGAGCGTCGTTGAGATGTTCGGTTCAAATAATGATATTCTCAAGATTTAGCTTTGAATACATAGGGAACATAAACAAGTTATACATGTAACACTGTATATCGTAGTACATTGATTGTTATAATGAGAGTTCATGCTTTCAACCATACTTAGCAAAATTAATGGTTCTTAATTAAGAATGTCATTTCGTAGGTTTTAATTAATCGATATATTTTGTTTTATCTACAAATTCACATTAAAACATTAGTCATAACTCGAAATCACATAAATCGCCAGTTTCGTCTATCCACATATTTGTTCTTAGTTAATATGTGTGTATTCATAACACAGACTGAATTTCATAGTGAAGCATAATACCTTGTTATAACAAATAGAGTACAATTTGTTTTGATGGTTAGAAAACAAATAAATTCATATTAACCATGAAATAATACGTTTAAATAAAGTGTGGAATACACTAATGATGATCAGATGTAATGTGAACCAATTATTAATTCCATCGGAGCACAAAATATCATATACACTATTAATCAATAGTTTTATAAATAGTTATCAAGATATAGTCATGTGTACGAATCCCGATCTTCAATATTATTGTAATCAGTCAATATCGGTATTACAAATGTCTGACAAAAAATACACTTAATAGATTAATGTTAAATATTAGTTATTCAATGGTAAATAATATAGAAATCATTATATGACTTCGTAGTATGACTTCATAAGTATCTTTCAAACAGAACTATATGAAAATATTTACACTCCTAGTGCTAATACATGAAATCCACAATATATTACCAATCATTTTTTAATTCAATGGCAATTAAAATAAATGAAAAAACAATAAATCACTAGTATAGAAAATGTGTATAGGAACAGTAGTAAATGAGATCCAAACTGAGATCTTAAAGATAATGATCACAAAACTTTTCTTTCACTGTATTAATATTCAATAAACATTTGTAACTTTCATATATAACATGATTGATAGGTATTCGACTCTGAAATGATATTATTTTGCCAATATACTAAGATTTCACTGTAACATTTGGTTATTCATCTCTTTTTATCCATGTAGGGGGAATAAGAGAGTGTTTATGATAACATTTAATCATTTAATTTTGATAGAAATAATAAATGTTTCAAATATATTGAATACAGTTCAAACATTATACGGGGGTTTTACATGACAACATTTTTCATTATATTGAGTACCCAATAATTAACATTAACCCCTATTCAATTCAAAGGTCTGTATAACATTATTAGTTGAGAACATGAATCAGTTGAAGCTAGAGCACCATGGAAAACCTGCAAGTACTGGATGGCCATTTCATCTTAGTATGGGACTCCTCAGCAGTGAGCATCCACGATCCAACCTCGCAAGATTTAAACCCGGGACCTATCAGTCTTGCGCGCGAACACAACCTCTACACCACTAAGCCGGATAGCATCCAACGATGTTAATCTATAACTTAAAACAATCCACGAAATTGAGCAACACATCCACCATTGTCTTCAGTGAGTTACAATCTCACAGCAGACGCGGTTGAACTTAACTGGTCACTGCTTCTCACTAGAACTCCAGGAAATACATCTTGAAGCCAGTCACTAGTGAGCATATGTTGATTAGTATCAGAAGGGGTTATGTGTATACTGTGGTAATTCTAATAGTTGAGATCATGAGTCAATTGAAGCTAGACCACCGTGGAAAACCTGAAAGCAGTGGATTTTGAATTTCAGTAACAGAATATACACTTAACCTAATGCAAAATTATTTTCATTCAAAGAATTAATGAAGTTACTTAATTACACCAAAGAAACTCTTCATTAAAATGCATGAGTTAAGATTTAGTTCTTTCCGAAGATCTCCAATCTTTTAAATACTTAAAAAGTTTTTATACAAAAAAGTTTGCAATAACCAAAATGTATTCAGTGATGTTGATTATATTGAACATTTGTTCTAAGCATAGATGGATAGTAACTAGCAGTTCAATCCAGTTTAATGTGCGTTTCGTCCTATTTGGAACTGCGCAGTTTCATGTACCTGCATCTCAGAGTTGATGTTCACTTTGATATTCGAACTCAGTACTGTTCGATTTAGACGTCATCACGTTATCCACTTAGCTACTGAGTCCATCTTTGCTTAGAATGCTTGTGAATTAGGGCAATTTCAGGGCAATACGCATAGTATGTATATATGTTAATAATAGACTGATCAATTGCAATGCTAAACATCAATGGGAACATTTGAATAAACAATACCAAATGAGTTTATTTTATTGATTTTTAAAATAAAATATCAACACAAATATTAACAAATTGATATTTCAATGCTTATCTTTAAAAAAGTATTAAGACATGTCATAAATAAACAAAACTCATGCCTATCAATATGATTTAAGTTTTTCTTTTCTTTTCCAAGATAATAAATTCATTGAATTGTTTTTATCAGTTTAATAAATCAGTTTGGCGATTTATATCATTGGAAATTTCAATGGTACATTGTTTGTGGTAAAATTTAACACTAATATCAAATGTTTAAAAGTAGTATAGTTTTAGTTTGTATTTTGTAAACAATCATCTACAAAAGTGTTCTTAACAACTTTACTTTTATTATGGTACTCGAATATGTAGAATCATCTATTGACAATGTAAGTATTATGTCATAATTTATGTGAAAAATGATCCGTAACGATAATGAAGGTTACAGAAAATCTCTTCGACCTATTTGCTTACTGTAGTTTTAAATTAATTAATTTTAAAAAATCACATAATTGGCATTGATATTCTTGAATATTTCTAACATGGAATGTTTATGAGTAAAATATTTAATATCATAAGGGGTTTTATGTAAATTGCAGTTATTTCAATAGTTGAGATCATGAATCAATTGAAGATAGACCATCATGGAAAGGTTGAAAGTACTCGACGGCCATTTCGTCCTATTGTAGGACTCTTCGAAAGGAGGGGTCGTGGATGCGCACAGCTGAGAAGTCTTACAATAGGACAAAACGGCCATCCAAAGCTTCCATGCCGATCTAGCTTCAATTGACTCATGATCTCAATTATCAAAATATTTAAGCCAAGAATTATTTGATGTGGACGTCTAACAATGAAATAATGAATAAAATTGTTAAATATAGTAACTATGTCCTACATATTATTGATAAGACTAAATACTGATATGGTACTACTAATATTATTACTAATCAGAAACTATAATGTTTACAGTTTAAAGTTAATTGTATTGAGTAATTGAGTTGAAAATTATAATAAGAAAGCTGAATATTTTTGTTAAAAGTAAGTGAAAATCTCACCTGAATTGATAGCTTTAGAGTCACCTTTAAACAATGTTCAGTTAAGCAGAGAACAATATGGATCTTTTTAAGAAACTGTTACTCCTTCCTGTCAGAAATACATCGAGAAAAGAGATTGACTGCTTATATTTATTTTATTTGTCTACTCTTGTAACATAGATACAAGAATCAATTTTCAATAATTATGTTAAAGCATTGTGATAGTCGTTCATTTTCATTTTAGTCATAATTTATTTATGATCCAATTTTTGTTCTG